TCTGTACAGAGTTCCACTAAGGCCAACAGGTCTGCCTGTAAAAAGTCAGTTGCAGGACTGGCACCTAGATGTACAGAGGTTGGAAGATGCAAGCAAGAACCCTGTTATGAACAATAAGTTAATTTGTATTTCTCTGATTTTAAAAAGTTGGACACTGCTTTCAAATTGTTTACAAAAAAAATTCCTTCGGTCTTCGCAAGCATTTATTGCCAGTGTTAAAACAATTTCATCTGAAGCCAGTTCCTTCTTCAAAAAGCACACACACGCTCACGTGCACACATACAATTTACCAACATATGAAAAAACTCTTGAATTACTTGTTAAAATAAAAACCTATGGAGTTATACCTGTGAAACCCCATTCTAAAAGCTAGTGTGGTGACACCTGTAACTGATGGCAAAATCTGGGCTGCAATGGCTTTATTGATTATGCATGAAAAGGAAAGAATTTAGTTTGACTTTCAGAATCCAGGTTGTTTGCAGGACTAGAAACTGGAAACACACTGTTCTCTTGTAAGCTGAGCAAATTTCATCTGGAAGCCAGTGACCCACAAACAAGGAGCACCTCTAGGATTTTTCTACATTCTCCTTCTAGAGTATGAGATCATTTCAAACCTAAGTCACCCCTAGAGAGTGCTTAGCGCACAAATTGCAGGTCTTCCAGCCAGGAACACTGACAGGTAGTATTTCCCATAACTGTATATGCTTACCTATTTGTTCTTTTGCGTGAAGTAAAATTTTCAAAAAAAGTGCTCAGAATTTGCCAAGCTCTATTCTCACTGAAGTCAAGGGGATTTTTACCATTAACTTTAATGGCAACAGAGCCTGACCAACACTGGGTGGGTTTGAAGATTCCTGCCGTTACATTTTTATTCCAAATCTTGCAATAAATTCTCTTCTGCATGTTTTCCTTTACTTTGGAGAGACTAAAACAGCAGGCAAATAATAGAAGATTTAGTCTATTACTATTGCTTTTGAAGCATGTTACTCAATATTAGATCAACCAGATGGACTGGCCTCACAAACTTAGAACATGATCCTGCATCTATGTCTAGTCCCGGAAGGTCCCTGAGATAATGGGCCTTAAAAATCACAACATTTTTACCTCTACAGAAGTTATGTTAATCTGCTTAATATTTTTGACTTTCTGAAGACAGACTCATGGTAGCTAAGGGAGCCTGTGTCTGGAGGTGGATGGAAACAAATTTATCCGAATATAAATTTTTAAAATTCTATAATACATTTGTAAAACAGTATTTCTGTGGCATAAAAAGAGTACACGGTGGTGTATTGAGGTATAAAAGTTTGTCAGCACTTGTTTTAGATGATCTGCATAGTTCCCTTTACCACTGATAAGCAGGTGAGGCCATTTGATATTGAAAAAACCTTTATATTTTTACATGCCATCACATATTCTCCCATGTCTTTCCCTCACTAATGAAACATTTAAGATCTACGGAAAATAAATTTCTGGGGTGAAATCCTTGTTCCATTAAAATCAACATGAGTTTTGTGATTAAGTTCAATGAGGCCAGAATTTTATGCCTGGTTTATAATCTCATGAATATGTGGTCCAATTTACAGAACTAACCTTCCCATTTTGTTCTGCTTCAAATTTGTCAATTTATTTTTTCAAACACAAAAGCATACAAGATGAAGAAAACCAATCCTAAATGTCCTCTTCACAACCTAAATTCACTGAATTTTTCCAATTAAATTAGGCTTCCAGCTAAATTGTCATCTATTTTCAAGATTAGCACATCCTGGCCTTTTGAAAAAAATCCTTGGGGTGGGGAAGGGAAAAAGTTTGCCGGTTCTCTTGTTGATGTTTAAAAGGTATTTTCATCAAGAAAGAAAAACACCTGTCCCACGACTCAAGGGAACTAGAAAACTGAATACAGATTTAGTACTGTCAAATGAAAAACAAAAAAGGGAAAAACTGTATTTTTTCTAACTGCATTCACTTATAGTACTCTTGGGTATTATTCTCAACTGCAGAATATACAAATCTTTCAAACAAACTGATTTTCTGTTTAGTATCCTTTTATCTCAGTATTAGTTTAATAATCAGTAATTTCATGTGCTATCAGTGACATCAATCCACTTCACAATAAACAGCAAATTAACGTCGGGCCTGATTTTCAGAGATGTTGAGCACTTGCAGTTCCCAGTGACTTCAAATGGAACCATGGCTACTCGGTTCTTCCGAAAATCAGAAGCATAACTTTTTACTTTTTAAAGAGGATCTAACTCAACTTACTGACATTCGCACAAGTGAAATGCCTCTTCAAGGAGAGAGCATAGTCCAGTGGACAGGGCTCTTGACTGGCTTTCAGGAGACCTGGATTCTATGCCTAGCTCTGCCACTGACTTATTGAGTGATCCAAAGCAAGTCATTTCTCACCAGTTTGTACTCCGCTTCCCAACTGGCAATAATAATTACTACCCTTTGTAAGTAATTTAAGATTTATGAGTACACCATATAAATAAAAATTACAAATTATGTAAATGTTCAAACGCTTGCTCTGAACAGTGACAAGCTGCCTTTACAAAGAGAACTAGAGGATACAGAATGATTTTAAATAGGAAAACTAGCAAAAAGACCAATGACAGTTAGTTATTCAACTAAAGTATTAGTTAATATGCTCTAGTGCAGGGGTTCTCAAACTAGGGGTCAGGACCCCTCAGGTGGTCACGAGGTTATTACACAAGAGGGAGGTTCGCAAGCTGTCAGCCTCCACCCCAAACCCCACATTGCCTCCAGCATTTATAATGGTGTTAAATATATTTTAAAGTGTTTTTCATTTATGGGGGGTGAGAAACACTCAGAGGTTTGATATGTGAAAGGGGTCACCAGTACAAAAGTGTGAGAACCACTGTTCTAGGGGATGGGCTTTATGACTTTAGATCAATTAGTTGAAAAATAAGACTTCTATAAAGACATTACATATAGATTTGTTGTAATATGTCTGGCAGATGCATGTTAGTCTTCAAACAATTTTTAGAATCTGTTCTTTACAGCAGAGTTGCAGGGAATTACAGCAGAAGCTACTGGAAGTATTACTATTGACTTCAGAGACCAAAATTAGACCAAAGTCCCATTTCAAAAAATGTACGAGCCAATTCCTGCTATCCTTCCTGATGAAACTCATTGTCAAAACTCTCAGTGATTTCAACAGGAGTCTTACTAGAAAAATGTGCAAAGTACCTTGTAAAACTTTTACAGTCTGATTTGTTTGCTCAACATTTTATATCGCATTTTAAAGAAAATACAGCATTTCTTAACATAAAATGAAAATGCTAAGAAATTCTAAAAACAATCTTATGCAGCAGTGCCACCCCATGGAACAAAACGGCACAGCATCAAGTGTGGCAATCAAAAAGAACTGTTATATCAAGTTTCATTAAAATTTCCTGATTGAAGATTTAGAGAGCAAGAAAAATAAGTAGGTCAATTTCTACACATTTTTCAGCTTTCCACTACTTCCAAGACACTTACTTGCATAACAGAATAGTCTAAAGATTCCTAATGCTTAACCTTTATGGCATTAATTATGCTTAGAAAACAAACCCACAAAGACTACTTGTGGCCAAAATGTTAATCTGTACTCAGAGGCAGGCCCAGTTTGCATGAAACATTAACTTGCTCTTGTGCTTACTTTACAGCCCAACAAAGTTGGGAACGGTGCATCAAGATAGATTATACTCCTTATGAAAGCAAATGTTTCTGTATAGTATTTCCCTTTTACCAGGGCATTATCTCCAGAGCTGTGGAAAAGGTTCCCCATAAATTAGAGCCCCTCTGTAAGACAATTTAAAACAGAACATATGCTAACTCTTGTTTACTATTTTATTTTATTTTATGGGTATTTTATTATTTTAACCACGTTTTATGTTTTTATAAATAAAAAGCCACATGTGCGTGGTTAAAAAATCCTTGTTAACGTTCAAAGTAAAGCAGGTTCCCCACAAAAAGATTATCATCACCAAAATTAATCTTTTTATTGGGAAGATGGCAACCCTTTCTGGAAGTCCAAGAGCGCACAATACTGCCCTCTACTGGTTCCTGGTCAGCACACACTTGACTGAGGATACTACATCTGCCATGAACTGCATTGGAGCATGCAGATTTCATGTACATATATGCAAGTCCTCATAATACCATCTCAAAATCATGCTATTATAGAGTTAAATAATGTGAAAAAAAATGGAGAAAATATTACTTGACTTATCCCCTAATGCAGTGGCATGTTTCTTAGGAGCTTACAAAAAGCAAGAGTCAATCATCAAGGGAGGCCTGAAGTTACAAAACTACAGAAAAGGCTACTGTACTGAAATAATCCCTATATAGTATTTGAGTTGTTCAAAATGTACTATTGGAATGATTTACATTTTTTTTTTTTTAAATCTGTAGTTCACCTTTAAGGTGACTGCACCAAAAACCAATCAAACAAGACTATGCAATTATGATCTGTGATACCAAATTGGAAGTCCTTGTGCAAACAAAACTCCCATTAAAGTCCTGCATGTCTGGTGCATAACTGGACCCTTCATTTACAATTCAGTTTATTAGAAAGGCACATACTAGTTTGTTTTTTCATATTATATGTTGTCTACAAAAGTTTAGAGAAACAGGAGTAAGGTTTTTCACTGACCAAAAATGTCACAATAGAAAACTTAAACCTATTTCCTCCTCCACCTCTAGATTTTTAACAAGCAGTACATTCCCCAAAAAATCAGAGAACAATCTTGCACAATAATTTCACCATCACTTTTTCCTGTTTCACTGAAGGATATCTAAAGAATGCAAAAAAGAGATTTTAGATTTGTCTTAAACAGGGATTAATGAAAGAGGGAATTATAACCTTTGCCATGGCTACTTAATTTCAGAAAGAAACCTAGTTTTTCAGTCTGTATCACTCTAGTTAGAACTGTTGCAATGGAGAGTAGTCTTTACTGGTTTAAAAAAAAAAGTTAAAGGCAGACAACAAAATAACTTACCTTTTTAAAAACTCTTCCAGAGGGCTGGATTTCATCTTCCTCTTTCAAGACTTCACGTGTTCCTAAGAGTTTTTTGTCCTTAAATTTAGTTTTAGCATACTTGAAAGCTTTGTCGAGTGTGTCACATCCAGGATATAAAACGGAAGCTAAGCAATGCAAACTGTTAACAGACCTGTATGAACTACCAGGTTTGTTTGTCACAGGTTTAGCTTTAATTTGTTTTGATTTTGCTAAGGTCTGTCTTGAGCCAGATAGTATGTACCATGGAACGTATGTTATAAACGTGTACACCAATATTATGAAGTTTATTAACTGCAGAAAAACAGGATTGATAGTATGCGTTAGCTTCATTTTGTCTGCTTGTGAAGGTTGTAGATCACACGGGAGTTTGACAAATTTGTTGATTACATGTAGATCAGCGAAGACCTGAAAGAGAAAGAAAAAGTCTGTTTGCAGTCCTTTTAAAAAATATGTATTTCCCATTTTCTGATTAAGAGTTACCAAAGTAGTAGGTCAATTTATGCATTTAAGAGTTTAGGGTAAAATCCTAGTCGCTTTGTACAAAGATCAAGCATCTCACAAGGGACCAGGAGTGGGGATAACAATTCTTCTCTTCCAATCTATGACTTGCAGTATTTATTTTGATTTATCTGGCAATTATGCAGAAATCTAGGCACACTAAAAATCTTATTTTTCAAAACAATATCTGGATTTAAACAAATTTCCAGTTCCAATTTTCAAATAGATGCACCCACAAAAACTGAGGACATGCTACCCAATCACATCAGAATATCATAAGATTCTGTGCTTAGACATTAACCTGTAATCTTCAACTCCTTTGAACTATCAACCTACTTAAGAGCCTATGAGAAAAGTAGTAACACCCATTGCTCCTCACATAGTCATCAGTAAATCCATCAAATTAGTATGTTGGCCAAGTCCCTATAAAACCCTACATAGTACCTTGAATTGGGCCATTGCAGAGCTCTATTCCAGACTACACAGGAAACTATGCAATTCCATTGTATGGCAGGCACAGTGCATGCAGTGGAACTATATTGCTTCCTCTACATGAGGGCAATACATGGCCTAAAGGATTTCACTTTTGGTACTTGTATGCAAAAAGTGCATTTTTACTATAAACATAACCATCCCATAATAACACAATGGTGCCTATTTCCACTTGGAATTCACAGCTCTCCTGGAGTTAGGTGCCTAAGCCTTTTCTTGAAAAAAACTGAAGAGGTGTTGGCCTCCTTATGACCTTTAGCCCAGAAGGTGGGGCACTCACTAAGGATATGTGTTCAAATCTCCTTTCTGCCTGATGTGGGGCAGGGACTTTTACCTGGGTATCCTACATTGCAAGTGAGTGCCCTAAATACAGCATTATGGGGTGTCTCTTTCTTTGTCTCCTGTTTGAAGCTATTCCACTTTGTCTGAATAATAAAATAGCCATTGGACCAGATAGTAAGAATAATCCAAGGGGTAGGGTGTTGACCTATGGTGTTGGGTACCAAGCTGAAGCCCCTGCTCCACAACAGGGAGAAGGGAGGGGGGAATTTGAGCCCTGGTCTTCCACGTCCTGGGTGAATGCTTTAACAACTGAGCTAAACGTAATAAAGACAACCATTTTTTGAAAGGCCTGATCCAGTCGGTGGCTTCCAAAAACTCCTACCGAGTCAGGCCCTGCTGTAGAGATAGCCAGGGCAATGCCTACTTTGAAGATCATGCTGGAGTTCTGGCATGAGCTAGGTGTTCAAGTGTCACACACTCTTGGTATCTGTATGCGTACCCTCTGGCAGAGATTTAGGAACCATGGGGATTTTATTGATTGAAATTTAGGCACCATTGACTTCAACAAGGGCAGTATTTAACTCTTTGTCCATAGTGATATGATTAGAATCTTAATTCCTCTGTCATGCTTCCATGTCACTAAGTGTCATTACGGGATGGTTATGTTTATAGTAAAAATGCACTCTTTGGTACAAGTATGGCCTCTTTACATACAAGTACCAAAAGTGAAATCCTACTGAGGGAAAAACTTCTGGCCCTAAGATTTCTGAAGCACTGTTTTGCAGGGCTGATTTATCATGTACAAACAAAAAAATAAGCGTGCATATATACAGATTTATTTATTTATTTTACATCGATAAGATAATTCTCTCTAAATAGTGTTCTCTAAATAATGTTTATAACTCAAACTCAAAAGGTGGTGAGGGTGCCACAGAAGAGGTAGTCCAAGTTAGGACAAGTCAGCTTTCTTTGCTAGTTGCTCATTATGCTCATTTATGTTTTGAAAACCTAATGAAAAATGTTATTTTTCTAGCACAAGTTATCCATTATCTTATGGCATTAACAAGATTAAATTATGCAGGAGTATATTCCTTCACCATCAAAGTGGAGGAACTTGTATGTTGATGCCTCCAAGAAAAGACAGTTACCTTTTCCATAACTGGTGTTCTTCAAGATGTGTTGCTGATGTCCGTTCCATATTAGGTGTGTGTGCTCGCCACACGCAACCATGCCAGAAGTTTTTCCCTCAGCAGTATCTGTAGGGGACCAGCTCTGGCACCCCCTGAAGTGGCATCTGTATGGTGCAGTATAAGGGGTTCCGCCGGATCCCCCCACCCTCAGTTTCTTCTGGTCAGAAACTCCGACAGTGGGGAAGGAGGGCGGGTCATGGAATGGACATGAGCAACACATCTCGAAGAACACCAGTTACGGAAAAGGCAATTGTCTTTTCTTCTTTTTCGAGTGCTTGCTCATGTCCATTCCATATTAGGTGATTCCAAAGCATTACCCTTAGAGGTGGGTAGGAGTTCACAGACGTGTAGACTGCAACACAGCTCTGCTGAACCCAGTGTCATCCCTGGCCTGCCGAGTGATGACATAATGAGCAGTAAACGTGCGGACAGAGGACCACTCTGCAGCTCTACAGACGTCCTGGATAGGGATGTGCACCAGGAAGGCTGCCAAAAACGCCTGAGCTCTTGTCCAGTGGGCTCTGACAATTGGCAGCTGTGGAACTCTCAGTAGGTCGTAACAGGCCCTTATGCATGAGGTGATCCAATTGGAAATCCTCTGCAAGGATACCGGATGACCCTTCATCCTATCCACTATAGTGATGAAGAGTTGAGTCCATTTATGGAAAGGCTTGGGACATTCTAAGTAAAAAGCCAAGGTCCTCTGGACATCCAGGGTGTGAAGACGCCTCTCTTCAGTGGTCTTGTGTGGTTTGGGACAGAACACCGTGAGGAAGATGTCCTGGTACATGTGGAAGGTGGAGACCACCTTTGCCAAGAAGGGGCCACAACTGAACCTTATCTTTGTCGAAAACAGTGTACGGCAGTTCTGAGATCAAGGCTTTAATTTCAAAGACCTGTCTCGCCAATGTCACTGCCACCAGGAATGCAACCTTCCATGACAGATGGGAAAGGGAGCAGGACCCCAGTGGTTCAAAGTGCGGGTCAGTGAGCCTAGAGAGAGGACCAAGTTAAGATCTCACTGTGTGAAGGGAGCCTGCACCTGCGGGAAGAGTCTCTTCAGCCCTCTCAAGAATCTGACCGTCATGTCATGGGAGAACACTGTCTGTCCTTGGATCGGTGGGTGAAAAGCGGAGATGGCCACAAGCTGCACTCTAACGGAAGAGTGTGCCAGGCCCTGGTTCCTCAAATGGAGCAGGCCATCCAGAACAGGTGATATGCCCCATTCGGACGCCCAGCCTCATCCACTTGGCCAGGTAAGTCAGTCTAATTGAGGGCTCCCTACTTTCCAGGAGGACCTGTTGGACTCCTTCCGAACAGGTCCGCTCCTCTGGGTTCAGCCACATAGCATCCATACCGAGAGGTGGAGGGACCCGAGGTTGGGGTGCAAGAGCTGACCGTGGACCTGCAACGGCAGGTCTGGTCGGTTGGACGGGCCAGGGAGTGGCCGCTGACAGGCTCATGAGCATGCCGAACCAATGCTGGTAATGCCACACTGGGGTAATCATGATAACCTGCTCCCGGTCTCTCTTGATTTTTTCCAGGGTCCTGCTGATGAGTGGAATCAGAGGGAACACATACATCAGACTCCCCAACCACCACAGGAGGAAGGCATCGGCGAGGGAGTCCTTGCTCAGACCCTGTTGAGAACAAAACTGGTGGCATTTCCTGTTCTGTCTGGTAGTGAACAGGTCCACTTGGGGAGTTCCCCACCTTTGGGGGATCATGCAGGCTACCTCTGTATGGAGTGACCACTTGTGGTGAGAGGAAAAATCCCTGCTGAGCTAGTCTGCCAGTGTATTCCTGATGCCGGGGAAGTGACAAGCTTCTAGGTGGATTTCGTGGCTGAATCAGACGTTCCACAGATGGAGCACCTCCTGACAGAGAGCTGGCAAGTGCACTCCCCGTACTTGTTGATGATCAAGCTGTCTTGTCTGTCAGGACTCATACCACCTTACTCAACAGGTGGGGCAAGACGACTCCGCACGCCAGCCGGACTGCTCGGAGCTCTTTGACGTTTATGTGTAACCGTGCCTCCTCCAGGGACCCCCCCCAGCCAAGGTCTGAGGCGTCCGACAGCAACTCGACGGAGTGAGGAGGGCTGTCGAATGGAACCCCTTCCAGAACTGTCCTGCAGTTGGTCCACCATTTCAGCGAGCTAAGTATAGCCTGGGGAATGGCAAAGATCTTCTCGGGACTGGGAATAGACTGTTGCCTGTCATTGTTGTAGGAGCCTGGCATGGCAGACCACATAAGTGCACACTGCCATGTGGCCCAGCAGGCACAGGCAGGCCCTGGCTGTACGCAGAGGGAATGCAGAAACTTCCACAATGAGGTTTGCCATTGTGTAGAACCTTTCCAGTGGTGGGAACGCTCTGGTGCTGATGGAGTCAAGAACCGCTCCGATGAACTCTATCCTCTGCACCAGCATTAACATCAGCTTTTTGTCGTTCACCAGTAGGCCCAGAGAGTGGCGTGTGGCTTTAAGCACAGCGACATCCCTTTGGACTTGAGACTTGAACCACCCTTGACGAGCCAGTCATCGAGGTATGGGTAGATCTGGATAATCCGGCACCTGAGGTAAGCTGCCACCACCAACATGCACTTGGTAAACACCCTTGGTGCTGTTGCCAAGCCAAACAGGAGGACCACAAACTGGTAGTGGTGGGGCCCCACTGTCCTCAAAAGATCACTATGTGGAAGTATGTGTCCTTCAAGTTGAGGGTGGCATACCAGTCTTCCAGATCCAGGGAGGGGATACTAGAAGCCAGAGAGACCATGCGGAACTTTAGCTTCTGTTGGTACTTGTTGAGGTCTCATAGGTCCAGGATGAACCGCAGACCGCCCTTGGCCTTTGGGATTAAAAAGTACTGGGAATAGAACCCTTTGTTCCTGTACTCGAGAGGAACTTCTTCCACCACACCCAGCTGTAGTAACCCCTTT